CCTTTTTTTATGACAAGGTCCATGCTCTTTCAAGGTTATTCTATTCGGTCCTTACTTAATATTTCAAATTTCGCTCCTGTTATCTCGCTACGCTTTTGAAGCTCCGAGAGGTAAAGGGCTACGGCATATTTGGTTCAAAAGGATGAATAAGATCTCATGCTGCATCTTCTTTTTTCTCTTAAGCTGTGTTTGGCACTTACGTAATAAATTTTTTTCCAAGGATCTTCGCCTTGAGTGCCTCGTGCAAGACAGTAAATTACGATAAGGAGTTACATATTTTCTATTCTATGCATCACATAAATAAGAAGATCTCATCTAGAGGGTAAAAGCCTTCCAAACATTGCCGTTAAAACCCCAACAATAAAGTGTCCCCCATTGTGGCTTGTGTGGCAACAAATAAAGTGACACTTCCGATGGAATGTAATAAAACACATCGGAGCATAAGTGTGCAAGAACTTCGAAAGGGCTATTATTGTGTTCCCGCGTGTCACTTCTCGCCACTTGATTGCAAACATATATTGATTTATCAAATATGGGCTTTTCTTAAAACCCATAGTTGTATCATTACTTTCATATTATTGATTATAGCTCTCTACTGCCGTTTTTGAATTCTCATTTTTACGAAATTACAGCTTTCAGAAGCACTTTGTTTTCCAGACACAACACAATGGCGTCTCCATTGATCGATTCGTCTATACATGCGATTCAACTCAATCGAATGGCTCAAGCGAAGTAAGTGGAATGAGAGAAAAGAGAGGGGACGAGCGAACGGAGAGCGCATTGAAGATGTACTTTTAGATGAAGGGAGATGAAAGCAGCAGACAGAGCTCTTTTATAACTTAAGATGAATTTTTGAGGGGAAGAAAATCTAACAATTATTAGCAAAAAATTATCTACGATTTATTAATTGAATTGGATATTATATGAGAGAAAATAATTTTTCAAAGTCGCCTTTATCAATGCAGTAGAATAATATACGGGAAATTGCGAATTAGATGACCGTGGAAGCTTAACTCTCGCTTTTTCCTGAGTGCAGGAATTAGCACTGAAATAATCGTGGCTATTAGAATGTAATGCATCTAAATTAGCCTATAAGTACTTTTACTGAATCTTTTTATAAGAGTACAATTTCCACGGGATAAATTGAATCCTGATGATTGATTTCATCTACAGATAAAATCATTTCATCTACACCAATGGAATTCTGCCTATAAATATAATTGATGTTAAAAATTTCATTTCATCTACATGCATTCAAGTTTAGATGAAAGGCGAATTTTTGGCCTTGAAATAATGAAAAAATATAATTCTTTTATGCTCTTTCTTTTGTAGCTGAAACCATAGTTTTGACCCTCTCAGTTATTTTTTCTTTATCAAAATCGTTTTTTGTTGCTTCTTCGTGTTTCATGCGAATCTTTGAAAGCTTCCAGAAGCAAAAATTCTGGAAAAATCATTTCTAATCGAGCCGTTGTAAAACCTTAGTTTTTGCAATGTTTTGAAGGTTGTGATTTTATGGTCTTTACTCATTTTTTCTATCTAATCTAACCCACCCTGCAATCCATTCCTTACTCTCGCCTCTACCGTAACCATTTTTGGGGATTATCTCCTAATCCGCTACTGTGAGCATGACATAAACACTTCATCGCTATACTTTTTCAAAGCCGCCTATCGATTTCAAGTGTTGAGTGCGGATTACGGTAAGTGCTAACGAAGCGATGTGCTGGCAGGTGTTGTTCTTCTGACAATAGGATGAATAGCATTGAGTGTTGCGCCATGTGTGAGTGAGATGGGAAGCCATGGGCGGCGAACGGCCTGATTCAGGAATGACGATCTCATCACGTTTTTAGTTACTGAAGTGCAAACTATTCTGACTGACTAGTTGACCAGTTGATTATTAGAATCAATTCATTCATTCTTTCATTAATCTATGTATCCAGTCATCCCAGCTTCACCAAATCAGGTTATAAACAGTCAGCCACACCTCCTTCGATCGCACGTTCCTTGTCCCGCTCCCTCAATCGTCTCATCACTGGTCGTAAATGCATCCGGCCTTCGCATTTTATGGCTCGTCTGATTAAACACAACCCACATAAGCGTAAGAGTTACGATCATCACAGCAGCAGAACAGGGGGACGACCTCAAATGGCAAACACATGAAGTAGCGAGGGATCAGAGTAAGGGCATATAATAGACATATTATGGAATCCCCTGATATTTGGAAAGATTCAGGTTTCTTCGAGACTTTTGCTTAGTTTCGTCAGTTTAATGTTTCATTAGCCCTCTTCTCTCAATGTCTGCGTTTTTGTGTCAAAATATGTGCAATGTTGAATGATAGATGAGCTCAGCATGTGTTATTTATTCGATTATCGGCTTTTTTTGTATGTGTTTTGACGCATCGTCAATAAACTAATGAGCGGCACGTTTTGATGCGACCTTTACCGTAACCGATAGAATATCATTCAATAACCGGATGTGTTCACCGGACGAGCAGAGGCTCAAGTACGGTAGCTATATCGTTCTTATTATACCTGACCTATACTATCTCTTCAAAGTGTCAATTTTTTCACTTTTGAAGAAGACCAATTCACATCATCACAAAGTTTCATGAATCTTATGAAGTTTGCCCTAATTAGGAAATCTGCTCCACTTTGATCTCTATCTATCATGGAGGTTCAACAAGCAATAGTATGTGAATGAGAAATAAATAGCTGATTTTGAGCTACGGGT